GTAGAATGTTATCTGATTTGTAATACCCGCGAGACCGGTATTTATCACGACTCCAAGAACCCGTGTTTACTTTCGAAGCGGTAAAAAAAAAAACCGTGATATCAGGGTTGCCGACGAAATCAGGTAATTTGAAACGCAGACACGTGAACACTGGTCCCAGGATTTGAAATATTTCCACGAAGACCAATTTGTCGTCACCTCCAGGTCTCCGTTAATTTCAGAATCGCTCGAGACGTTTGTTCGGATAACGTCTCCAGAGTTTATCCGAGTCTTGATACCCTCGAAACACCCTCTTCAACAACAATGCGCGACGCACAGTGGCGGCCATATACAGCGAGTCCTGAAAGTATTCATGCCCCTACCCATTGCGAATATATACGATGTCCTTAGCATAAACATTTCGTCTTAATTTGGGAACTCTCCAGAAGCATGTTCTTAAATAAATACAATTTTAGAATACGTATTGTAAACTTGACATAACTCATGGTAATTAAGAAACACTTGTTTATAACTATGAATTTTATAGAAATAGAAAATTCAAAGTAGTAGGACAGAAAAGGGGATAAACTAAACCTGGATAGAGAAACTATTAGATTAATTTCTAGATTAAGGGCGAATCATTACAACCTAGCTGAGTCTCTAGCCAAGAAATATATAGTTCAGGATGGATCGTGTGATTGTGGTGACGTAGAGAAAACATTCGAACACGTGATGTCCTCGATATAATATCCAAAGAATGGATTTAAGAAATAAACTAAAACGCGAAATTGACATGGTAGAAGAACACGTAGAAAATCTTCTGACGTTACAAAAAATAAATATACACAAAACATTTAAAAAGTTCATTGATAAAACATAAAGATCCATAGCACATACATACAGAAATAGAAATCTAAAAAATTTGTCAGCAAGTACCTAAGAATTAAACAACATAACAATGAGGAAAACAAGAAAGAAGCAACATAAAGAAAGCAACAAAATATATATAAAGATAAGTTCATTTCTCCTATATCTTTGTATGGATGTACATTTATAAGAACCAGAACGTACACTATCATTACTCGAAAAAACGATACAACCAGAGCTGTCTAAAGAGGCTGACAAAAGGTAAGTTTGATGAACTGTAATACTTTGGTTGAGACACAATAGTATTAAATTTCCACAAAGAAGGAACGTAGAGCCGTTAGTTACCTACATACCCATTTCGTAATTGTTCCAATAACAGTTTTTTTCTCAAAGAAGACAATGATAGCTAGTCGATACGTAGCAGAACCAAGGAATAGTCTAGGGCTTAGGAGTCTTTTCACGCGTACACTTACATACCTCCTCTACAATAGGAAAGCCAGGTGGACGCTTTTCTGTGTCGTTTTTATCAAGAACCATGCAACAAGAGGTAGCGATTCTAACTATAGACCAGTTTCTTGTCGAGGAGAAATGTGTAGTCGTAACTATATTATTATTCGAGTATTTTATAGATAAATATTTGAAATGTACAAATAAACGTAAGATTGCTTTCTAATATTAACGCTAAACCTACCAACGTTCATTTGTAACTATTTCTACCGTGATGAGACAAATTACTAGTCTTAAAGACTCTTTTTCTAATTAAATGGAAAAACATTTTATGTGAGATTAAATTGAATGGTGCCATGGAATAATTAAATATAATTCATATATTGCATATTATAACTGTTTATTAAAGTTTGGAAATGTTTAATTGACCGGTCGTGGTAGATTTAGTGTTAAATGTAAAATTTAATTCTATGCTTTTCTAAAGGAAACTTACCATTTATTTATAACGAATATTATACTTTCATTATATCTTCTTTAATTTCATCATTAATATATTTCATTTTTACGAATGTTGATACTTTAATGTAACAAAATGACGAGTAAATACTTTTGCTTAAATCAGAATTATAAATGTATTAATGTAAAGACACAAAATTAATTTCTACACCTAATACATTAACTTAACTTTCATGGTTGTATTAATGTAAATAATATAGTTGCTGTTTATATTCCTCAGAGAGTAGCTAGTAATATTATTCCGAAGATAACCAAGAAATATATGTCTAATATGTTATATAATATATTAATAATAATGTTATAATATAAATATGTAATATCGCATTAATGCATTGAAAACTCCTGATGAATGACATTTAATGCCAATAAATGTAGCTTTCTCAATAAATCATGCTATGCACGAGCAATACACGTGTACAAAGAATGAAAAAAATGTATTTGATAAATTGTAAAGACCAAAGCTGCAACATCGTAGCTATTAGTTACCGAAAAAGTATCTATTACGTAATTGTTCCAATAGGAATTTCCTTCCAAATCCGTGAACACGGTCCTTACCAAGGAGGACAAGGCCAAGGAACAGTCCAGCGCACAGAAGCCTCTTCGTGAATACGCTTACATGTCTCTTTTACAATGAGAAAGCCAGCTGGATGGTTTTTCGCGTTGCTTTGATCGAGATCCATGCAAGAAAAAGACCCATTCCGACCAAAGAGCCGTCTCTCGCAGAAAAGTAAAACGTCGTCGTAACTAGGATTGCAGGCACTCGAATAGTGTAATATTCTGTAATAGTCTTTACATACTTACGTACCTTGAATTACACTTACTTGTTTATCTTCATCTACTTAGGCATTTTATTTAATTGCCGAGATACTTTAATAAAAAAGTTTTTAATACCAGTAGCACGTAGCAGTAACTATAATTTTGTCTGTATCATACATTCTTGTTGATCACATGGTACTTTCCAAGTGATGAATTATTTTTGTTTTGTTATTATAAGAAGGTGTAAACGAAAACATTGCTATTATTTTCATGCTAATTGATGACGATCAAGATCAGTATTAACGTTCATGAAGTTAAGTTGCAGTAATATTTCAGTACGAAAACAAATATTATATAAAAACGTGCTACGTCCTATAAAACTGCAACACAATAATGGTAAATATTATCACTGTTTTTCAACTGTGTACTATCCTGTGTGTCTATCCAGTACCTATAAGACGCTACGGACTATAAAACGCGCCTTAATTTTTAAACAATTTAAAAAAAATATAACATTTTTATTATTAGATTGCCTCTTCGTCGTCATCGTTGTCCTCTTCATATATAAGACGGTCTTCACTGCCATCGAATTAATTTCGAGTATAAGACGCACCTGAATTATGGAGGCAATTTTTCGAAAAAAAAGTGCGACTTATAATCCGTAAAATACAGTAACTTGGTTCATTCATATATTCCAATGTTTAAAAAAAATGAAAACAGTAAATCTAATAAAAAAGATTCCCTTTACTATCACCTACTTAAAAAGTATCCGTTCTGTGACTCTTCCAATAAGAGTTTTCTTCAAAAATCGTAAAGGCGGTTCACACGACGTACAATAATACCTATCCGATTCATAATAGGCCCAAGGAAATGTCCAGAGCCCAAAATATTTTTCAAGAATACGCACGCACCCATGGTTCTTTTACAATAAAAAAAGGCAGCTAGGTCCAGTTCTGTGGCGCTTTGATCGACAACCATGCTAGAAGAGAAGCGAGCCTGAGCAAAGAACCGTTTCTCACAGGAGAGAAAAGTGTCGTTGTAACTTGAACTGAATTTATTTGAATAATTTAACATTTGCAAGTTCTTTACATACTTAACTGCTTAGAATTAACCCATTCACTGTCAGGCAAATTTAAAACTACAAAAATTTTATAGCGACGGTATAATGACTATATCAGAAAGGTGAGAAAATATCCCACAATTTCGTGCTGAAGACTGTGTCAATATTTAATAAAAAAACTACAAAAATTTTATAGCGACGGTATAATGACTATATCAGAAAGGTGAGAAAATATTATAAAATGAGAGAGATTACCTTTTTTTTTATAGCACTTAAGAGTATGTTTCATATATTAATTTGGGTAGCAGAAGTATAAGTGGCATGAACTTTTAGGATGACCTAATATTTACCAAATTAGATGATATATCATATCACATGATATATTCAAATGTTCATTAAGACAATGAAAAAACTAGTTTCTCGTGCTGAACGACAATTATAAAAGCTGCCAGCAACTTGATGAACTCTTTCGATCAAATAGCAAGAAAATATAATCTGTAATCACTGTACGTCGAGTACTTAAGAAGAGTTCCAGTGCTGTCAGACGGAAGACATAAAATTACTAGATTAGACCATGATCTATAATAGTACGATTAAGGTATGATAAAACATCCATCGAAATTGTATAAAAGTAAATTAATTTTAGATGTTGAAGCATTTATTTAAGACTTGAAGTAATTTCAATTAATTTACGATTTTATTTCATATTTAAAGTCGAAACGTATTATATAAGAATATTTTTGGTGCTACAGTTATGCTCCACAGTGTGTTACACAAACGTCCTAATAACATAACATAATAACGTCCTAATGGCATTTTTGCAAAATTTGCACAATAGATGACAAAAGGCTGTTGATAACGATGGCGATTGCATAAGTGATTAAAAATAGAAATTTATGGTAAAACTCTGTTTGAATTCAATGTAAAAGAAACGACATTACTTTCCAGTCTACCTGATATAAGAATAATTGTGGTGCTACAGTTATGCTCAGCACTGTATTACGTAAACGTCTTAATAGAAGTTTTCTTCGAAATCCTAGCAAAGAAGACGACAGGGTCCAGAATTCTCTTCGCGAATACACTTACATGTCTCCTTTACAATAAGAAAGCCGGGCTGGATGGTTTTCTACGTCGCTTTGATCGAGAGCCAGGCAAAAAGAGGAGCCAACCTGACCAAAGTGCCGTCTCTCGCAGGGGAGAAAAGCGTCGTCGTGACGGAGTCTGCGTGCTGCGACGACGATACTCAGGGAAACGCCGAAGACCGGAGAAGAGGATGGAGCCGAGTACTGGTGGGGGTAGATCAGAGGGAGAGGATGGTGGAAGCGAAATCTGGCCTCAGTCGTGCGCGACGCGCCATATGCGGTGGACCATTTGTCAAGGCGCTCACAAAGGCCAATAATCTCGCGTGACACGTGTGATTCCCCGATAAAAAGTGTCACGTGCTGGCTGCTACGCACCCCTCCTCCGATTCTAACGGGACGTGCCCCCACCCCAACCCCTCGAAAACTTGACGGAAAAACTTTTTTCCCTCGCGGCCGACCGACAATTTCGCTCCAGTGGCGATCGGCGAACAGACCCACCGTGTTTTTCCTCGCGATCGACTCGTTCGGAGCAAACTAATCTTTTCGACGGTCGGAGTGAAGCGCGGAGGGACGAGAAAGACGAACGTTCGCCGAGGGTGACAAAAGGTGAAATACTTTACGAAACGTGGGTCGGACCGACGTACTTTTTCGAGAAGGCTCTCCGCCGATCGAACTTCCTAGGGGAAAGTTTGGACCGTGATTCTGGACGCGACGTGGCTGGCAAATTTAAAAGCTCGGAAGCCGTAGACGAGATCGACGCCAGCGATAGGGAAATTCTCATCTAGGTGAAAAGTTTCGAATAACGAGGAGAAGATAAACGATAACTGGGACGATTGTTTTGGCTGCTGGCGCTAAAAGCTCGAGCTACTCTCAGTCCCCCCGAAGATGAAGATAGAAAAATAAACAACTCTCGACCCTACAGTCTGAGACACGCGATTAAATTATGTTTCCCATCGAACGAACGAGATATCTGGAAAATAATTGGACGGTATAAATCATTGGACGGAGTTTTTGTCGTCTGTTATTGGGATAACAGTTCCGATTGAAAGGAAGGTAGTTGGCGCGCCGAGACCGCGTGGAACGAAGGAAGGGAACTTTTTTCATGTTCGAAGACGCGCGCAAACGGAGATCTATGGTGGCAATCGACGGGCCAAAGTGAAACGAAGATTTACGTCGATTATAATTAAATCTCGCTGGCGATGGAGTCGACGGGGTCGAAAGGAACGAAGGAGCTGGCCGACGTTTAAAGTAAATCGCTGTTACGGAACCACTCGGGCGGCGATTGTTCGCGCACGCTGGCCGTCTGACGCGATCTCGACGGACAATCGACGAGAATCTCGTTAAGAAGGGCGCCAGGGACCAGAGGAGAAATTTATGGTGCACCATAGGAAACGGTAAGCCGCAAACCACTGAATACAGACGCTAATTTTATGCCCGAGAAAGTTTTATCGCTTGCTCCTGGTCGCGGAGGCGCGAAATTTATTCAAATTGAGTCGTCGAATTTTTCTATTTGGCCCGCGACAGGTGACGCCAATGCAATTTGAATGCTAAAGAGACACGATCATTGATGCACTTAACGATCGAGCGTTAAGAAGCACGTGCCCCCGGTTGTCCCGCGGATCGAATCGGAACAGCGGACTTCGGTCCAGCAAGTAGATTATGTGGAATCAAGGTCGGCGGTTCATTGTTATTGGCCGCGAGTTCTAAATTTAGTGAGCCAATTCGTCTGTTGTTGTGCATGCGATTTATTTTATTTTATATTTTCTCGACGAGAGTGCAACAAACGTATTAGGGACAAGTTCAGAAGTCTTTGAGTTCCTTTAAAGATTTATATGGTTGCAATTTTGATTGTATATGAGGGGTTCTTCAAAAGGGACCTGAGGTTTATTTTTTTCAATTAAACGTTAGTGATGCGAGATATATCCAATTTTATCTTAAAGTAAAATAGGTATTGTAAGAGATACTTTTAATTAATATCTCTTTTGATGGATGATTTGTCAGGATTTTTGATAAACGTGAACAATACAATCATGACACATAAAGGGAGTTTCATAATTTAAATTCAATAATACTTTCAACACTTTATTCTTAATACTTAATTTACCTAAATCTCATGTTATTTAATTTCACAGAAAAATAGAATGTGTAATTATACGTCTTTATCGTGGAACGTAACTAATTGCAATCAATGGAGACATTCGTCAATTCCTAAAAACACCCGAAAAATGCTCCCACATTATACATTATACACACGACTGCACACGCATTAAACATACCTTACAGTATGGATGATTACTAGACTGCGGATTTTTATGCAAATGTATGTATTTATATGCACAGATAACGAACAAAAACGTAAAGTACATTTTGTTTTCTAAATATTTTATATATTTTATATTTTACATATTTATGCATTTGTACACATCATTGTAAATTTATATATTTATATATATTTACATTTGTCATGAATGCATAAGTAAGTATCCCCAGTCTAATAATTACCAATAAATAATAAAAAATTATTTTTAACCCTTTAAGGCACACGATTTAAAATAAAAAAACTCAAGTCTGCATAAAATTCAAATCCCTATTATTTAGCTTCGAAATTCGTGTGAAACGTCAAATGACATTTGTTTTAATATAAAATAATTTACTTTCTTATAATACATACTTAAGAAAGAAGAAACAATATTTATCATTATAAAAAATAAAAATTCAACGCATCGCACAATTCACCGACTCAAGATTTATGTTTTTATCAATGAGTGGTAGGAGCATAAGAATTATCAGAAAGAAAATAAGAATAATTCGTAAATTGCTTATCATTGGACTAAGAATAGCAGGCAAAGTTATCCGGTGAGAGAGATAAGACAGCTGAATTCTAAATAGACCAGGTCACCTGCATAATTCATAATTATCTGTGGAAAGCCACCTGCAAAAGAAAGTATTTAGTTAGTAATGAGCTCTTTGCAGATTAAAAAAGAAATAAAATGGACAATGAGAACGTATTATTTTTTGTTAGTAAATATTAACTTGTGGATTCTTCGAGGATATAAGGAGTTTATCGGTTTTAATACATGTATAATTTATAACATTCCGACTGTCGAATTTGAATTAGTTTCAAACCTTTACTTTTAAAATACTACAAATAAATCAGAGGTAATTAATTTCAATTTTTGTGAAATATCGTTGCACTACCATGCGCATGAAAATAAAGCTTAATATTTAGTCATTCATTCTTTAAACACAACACAAGTACATTTCATTTTAAATATAATTCTCTTCAAAGTTATATATTAAATCTTGTAACGTAGAAAACACCACTAAAATTATGACTAAGTATTTATAACAGAATTTTTGAAAATTATTAGATTCTGTTTTCACTATCAGCTTGAACTTTTGTTCATTTTATATAAAATAATTTGTTCTTATGTTAACAAAATGATTTAAGTAAACTTTAACATTCCCGTCGCTAATAACCTGAGAGTTGATGCGATGTTACTTTAGATTAAAAAAAAAAAGATTCGTCCCTGAAGATATTATACCAGCAATCGATTATTGAAAAACGAATTGAGGTTCGAGCACACTATTGGACTGTATATTAAAAAGTTATACCTGCATATGTAACACGTTCCGTCTGCATATTTTGAGGTATTTCCTGAATCTGGCCAACAGTGAAGCAACCTTTTTCAAAAATGGTAATCACTGAATCTGAATTCCATTCGGGGATATTCCTCCCAACCCTCGGTATGCGCGCATCGATTTATCCTTTTAAACCCTTCGTGGCTGCACCTAGATGAACATTATTTTTCCTTTCCAACAACCATCATTCTTTTTTGTTACCAATATAGTGAAACTGTAGGCGAATAAGAATTTTGTATAAATGAAATCTAAATTGATTTTACTCTTGTTTTTTCATTGTATTAATATAATCCACGAAAAAGAATATACAGTTGATATTCCAATAACAATATAACAAGTATTTTTGTAATCAAAACTAAGTATCATAGTGAAAGAGTACAGACTTGTGATCGTTAATAACGAAATAAAATTGAAATTGATGCTTGTAAGTTGACAAATTAAATTAACATCAGAAATATTTAGTATAAGCATTATTATTGCAAGTTCTAATTCTTTCATTTTATTTGATTGTTATTTTTACACATTCTAGCGAGCCTGAATTACCTTGGTGATTTTGAAATATAAATGCCGTGTTGCTAAATTTTTTGCATAAATTATTTCTTTAAATATTCTTTGATATTTACAGTATGTGTTAAATATTTTAGGTGTCGTCTATGTGCAAATTGATGTTCTAATTATTGATTGTGTAATTTATTTTTATTCGTGTCTGTTCGATTTTAGATTACAAGCTAAATAAAAAATAAAATCTATCGATTTGTCTGCAGATGACATAATTTCACAAAGCCATAATGTCAAAAGTAACGATATGTTTATATAAAGCCTTTCGATTTACAGAACATTCCCAAAATACCCGTTCAGGCTGGATCGAAATTTTCGCTTTGTTTCTCTCGCATATGTAAACTAACTTACTTTACCATACAACTAAAATAAAGTAAATTGTATTACTTTTCTTCCACACTTACAATTGAGTTCACATGACTGACGGTTTTCCTCATATACGTTACCAGTTTTAAAAGTGCCAATAACTATATACCATCCAATGAGTGTATCACCTTCCTTATTATTCCTCAAATAATATTATCCTAGATAAACCAGTCAAACAAGTACCAAATAAAATAAATATTTGAACCAGAAAAGATTGAAAATCTTGAATTAATTTCAAGAAAATCAGTACAGGTGATAATATTTTCTTTTTCATGATATATAAAATATACTCTTCGTGGCAATGATGTTGAGGAGGTCTACGAATCCCCGTCTAAATGTTGTATAAAAACATGGGGTGAATGTCAACCAAGTGTTTTTTAGGGTACTAAGTACTTGATTCAAAGTAGAATCTGTTTCGAAAATTAATTTCAAGGGAATTAGTACGAGCTCTGATTTTTCCTTTCCATTCACCAAGGCTACTTTATAGAAGCATGACGTTATCGCACGAATTCTGGCATTAACCGTCTGCAATGGAACGCGGGCTTACTTAGCCGTCCCAACAACCCGCAACCACAATGCATAAAGAAACATACAAAGTGCGTTCCGAGAAACTCGCACACCTGTTGGCACAAATGCCAGGAAAGACGCGATTCTTCATCCCAGGCAGTGATCCCCTCGTGCAACCGTCTCGATACCTTTGTACACAACCAGGGCTGTTTAAATGCGA